AAATTCATATGTTGTAGTTCTAACCCTTAGTATCTCAGCATGTGACTGTATTTGGAGATAGGGCCTTTACAGAAGTAACTAAGTTAAAGTGAAAAATCCTCAACAAAATATTAGCAAATCAGATCCAGCAATATATTAAAAAGGTCATACACCATGACCAAGTGGGATTTATTCCAGGGATGCAAGGCTGGAACAGTATTCACAAATCAATAAATGTGATCCATCACAAAAAAAAAAAATGGAAAGACTGCTAAAAACTTGACTGGCCTAAAGAAAAAAAAACAAAAAAAACCGGAAAGACAAAAATCACATGATCATATCAATAGATGCAGAAAAAGCATTCGATAAAGTCAAACACCAATTTTTGATAAAAACTCTGAGCAAAGTGAGAATAAATGAATCATAACTCAACATAATAAAGGCCATATATGACAAATCTACAGCCAACGTCATATTCAAGGGCAGAATGAGCAGAGTGAGGCCCTGGGGCTTGAAGCAGAAAGGGAAATGATACTCAGGAAGGCTGGGCACTGAGGAGGCACGCAGCTGAGCTGCAGGCAGCCTGGCATGGCTCCCACGTGCATCCATCCAGCAGCTACCTTTGTACAGTGGTGTACAAAGATGAATAAAATATGACAATAAGCAGTTCATGGTCATGGCAAAAGGGATGTGCAAATAATTCAAAACAACATGGTGACTGTGACACTGGAGTAACATTTCAAATTATAGGAACTTAGAAGCAAGACCACCCAAACGTCCAAGGCCAGTCAGGAAAGCATCATGGAGGAGATGGGCTGCAATGAGTCTATGACAAGCATCACTTGCTGGCTCTGTATTCCCAGCACCTGGCACAGAACATAGCTCAACAAAGATGCTTGTATCCACCCACTTGTTCAAAGAACTGAATGAATGAATGAATGAATGAATGAATGAATGAATGAAGGGGGGTAATTACTAAAAGAAATTATAAAGTCTGGACATAAAATTTTTTTAAAGAAAATCTAATTTTCTTCCTTTATGACCAGTCTGTAGAGGAAATGCAACTTACTGGTAACCAGCAGCAGTGATGGAGGGCAGAGATCAGAAGCAGCAGGTGTGATAACAAAGCAGAGAAAAGAAACTTGTGCACATCAAAGGGTGCAATCAACAGACTGAAAGACAACCTAAGGAATGGGAGAAAATATTTTCAAATCATATTTCTGAAGGAGTTAATATCCAGAATATATAAAGAACTCCTACAACTCAACAACATAAACAAATAATCTAATTTAAAAATTGGCAAAGGACTTAAATAGATATTTGTCCAAAGAAGATATACAAATATCCAAGAAGCATGTGAAACAATGTTCAACATCACTAATCATCAGAGAAATGAAAATCAAAACCACAGTGAGATATCACCTCACACCCATTAGGATGTCTACTATCAACAGAAAAGGAAGAGAAGAGAAGAGAGAGAAGGGAAGGGAAGGGA